GAATTTTTGATTAAGAAACTCAATGATTTCAAAAGGATCAATGGCAACACTGTACAAAAAAAAAAAAAAAAAAAATATATCTCCAGCGCGCGAGTCTGTGTATCGAAAATTCTAAAGATATGCTCTTTTTTAAATTATTTTGCGATATTGCTCTTGAATTGAATTTTGTGGTTTAAGTGCGAAGAACCTGATATTTAATAAATAAAAATAAAACACAAAACGCTTAAAAAAGGTCTCTTTGGGGATAATATAAAGTCTAAAAAAAATTTAGATATTTTTAATTACAACGACATTTATAATAATGAATTTATAATTATATTTATAATAATAAATTTATAATTACATTTATATAATTGTAATTATATTTATAATATAAATTTATAATTACATTATAATAATTGTAATTAAATTTGTAATAATAAATTTATAATAATTGTATCCAAAGCAATGAATGAAAAACTGTTGCCCAAACCACATTTCTAAAAGAACGAAACTATCATCAGAAAACAATAACCAATCAAAAGTGTGCTTTGTGGATGACATAATTCAAAATATATAAACTTCTTTGCCATTAGCTAATAAAGGAGAGGAAAAAAAAAAAAAAAAAGGAAATTCTGTTGTGCCTCGCGAGACTCATTCACGTCAGAATAAGAATATTGCGATGTGCGTGTTGCGTGTCTGAAAATTAAAAAAAATTAAGCAGCAATTTATTTGATATTTTCAACAGTCAGCAGTCCAGTATACAAAGCATTGAATGAAACACTGTTGTCAAAACCACATTTCTAAAATAATGAAACTATTCAAGATGATGCATCTTCATCAAAAAAGATAAAATAAAAAAGAAATTTTAAAAAATCTGAAAGGTTTCAGATTTTAAATTACTTCCAAAGGGGCGTTTTTTTAATATTTTGTCTGTTACTTTTATTTATTAAATATCACGTTCTTCGCACTTAAACCATAAAATTCAGTTCAAGAGCAATATCGCAAAATAGTTTTAAATTGAGCTTATCTTTAGAATTTTCGATACAGAGTCTAGCGCGCTGGAGATAAAAATGTTTTTCTGTACAACGTTGCCATTGCTCGCTTTGAAAGCCTTGAGTTTGTTAACCAAAACGTTTTACAAAATAGGAAATCGATCATAAAACAAATTCCAAATTTCAAATTTGGACTTTCACATGCCCATATTCGCAGGAGGATTACGTCATTCAAAATTCGATACTTCTATGTACCGTTGTTTTATGATAATGCCAGAAATATACATACTACATTTATGCAGATTTTTTCCTTATTTAATATCTTCAAATATAATGCAGGACTCTAACATTGGGTGGCAACAGTTTGAAAAGTGAAACGGACATTTAAAGTGAACCAACGCAAAATCGCAAGGACTAAAAAAATCTACTTCGGATTTTGAAATAATCACTTCGAGGTGCACTAGATCTTGTCTAGATACACCTATGTACCAAATTTCGTAGCCCTGGGTCTATTAGCTTACGCGCAGCACGAACGAAAGACACATACACAGAGTCTCTTTTATTATAATATGTAGAGATGTCGTTCTTGACACTTATGCCACATAAAATTCGATTGAACAGCAAAATCACTAAATATTTAAAAACAGCATATGTTTAGAATTTCTGACGGACAGTCTCTGGCGCTGAAGATAAAAATGTTTTATTTCGTACTTTACTGCCATTGCTCGCTTTAAAAAATCATTGAGTTCGTTAATCCAAAATTCCTTAAAAGTTTCCAAAATATGAAATAGGCTATAAAAGAAATTCGAAATTCAAATTTTGGATTTTCAGGTATCCATGTTCGGATGCAGGACTGTTATTCAAACTTTGATGCGTCTAAGTACCGCTGTTTTTTTACTGTGCAAGAAACATACATGTACTCATGCAGATTCTTTATTATTTTATTTCTTTAAATATAATACAGGGCGATAATATTTGGTGGCAACAATGGACTCAATATTTGGTGTATATACTCAATATGTAACAATTGGCAACAGTATTTGGTGACTAACTACTATTTAATGTGTATAATATGTACCATTCTAATTAATTAGCATGCACTATTTAATGTGTGTAATATGTACCAATGTGTGTAATATGTACTATGCAAACTGTAAATAATAATTAATGCGTAAAGCCAACCTATGTGCTAACCTAAGAACCCAACTATACATACTTATAGTAAGAATTGAATCAAACAGGTGTAAAGTACCTTAAACATAAATATTAAGTACCCTAAACAAAAGTATTAATCAATCTGTCAGTAAATGTAAACTGCACTATGAAATGTGTATGATATGTACCATGCAAGTATTAATTAATATTATTAATTAATAATTAAATTCTTAGAAATGTAATTTGTATTATGTAATGCGTGAACTATGTACAATGCAAGTCTTCTCAGTAAATATAAGCTGTATTATGTAATGTATATAATATGCACCATGCAAACCTGTAAACAATAATGAATGCGTAGTGTTAAACTATGTGTTAACCTAAATACCTAAGATGTAAAGTACCTTTAACATAAGTATTAATCAATCTCTCTGTGTAATATGTACCATGCAAGTCTGTAAATAATAATGAATGCATAGAGTTAACCTAAGTATCTAATCATGTATAATTAACGTAAATATTGAACCTTACGGATGCAAAGAACCTTAAACATAAGTCATATTCAATTTCCCAGTAAATGTAATGTGTAATATGAAATGTGTGAAATATGTACCATGCAATATGAATGTAAATGCACCATGCAAGTATGAATAAGAAAGTCCGAATATGGTACGGCATGTATAATAGTCGTGCAAGTCAGAGTATGGCAATATGTACCATGCAAGTCTGAATGGGTACCTAAACCTAAGTACTGAAACCTAAGTACCTAATTATGTCATTCTAGATAAGGGCGGGCGTGGTGCTCATACCAATTAACCGTAACGGTAGAGGGATGGTGCCCACGTCCTCCGTCACTCACTCACTCACTCCCTTTTGTGCTAGCAAATGTAAGTATAATTTTTTGATTTACGGTAAATATTCCATTCTCCCTCCCCTGATCAATTGAACTGCATATTTTCAGCAGCTTGTCAATGCTTGATGATATAATTGCATTTTATTACTCGTACGAAAGTGATACTAACGCAATAATGTAATTTTACCTCAAATTCTTCACCTTCAACAATATTTTTTAATAACATCGTTGGTTTAATAATATGGATACGTGGACTGCGATTTTTTCGGTTTCCTAAATTTTAAGTAGAATATTTAATGTAAATGAAGTCATGCCTTTGTAATCCGACCTGAGTGGGGCAGAGTTAGCTCGGATACTCAGGTTAAAATTGTCTGTTTCAAGTAAACCACTTACTCACAAATGTTACATTATTACTTTTAAATGAAACGAAATTTGTTTTCGACCCTTAAGTACTTTATTTTGATACCAAATTATATTTTTCAGAGAAACGCATTAAAAATTGCAAATGTGCTCAACTGCTAATTTTTTTCAGTATTACAAAATCCGCTGGCAACTTATTTGCTGTTCCGCTCTTCGTGAACAATTAATAAGAAATAATATATTTTTAATTAAAAGTTAAATAATTTTTGCGTTTAGGTCCCATAATTAAGAATAGTACCCTGGCAAAACAATTGATAAGAAATATATGTTTTTAATTAAAAGATAAATATTTTTTGTGCTTTTTAGGTTCCATAATTAAGACTAGTTCCGAGGTAAAATATTTGATAAGAAATAATATCTTTTTAATTAAAAGATAAATAATTTTTTGCGCTTAGGTCCCATAACTGAGAATAGTACCCTGGCAAAACAATTCATAAGAAATAATATCTTTTTAATTAAAAGATAAATAATTTTTACGTTTAGGTCCCATAATTAAGAATAGTAACTTGGCAAAACAATTGATAAGAAATAATATCTTTTTAATTAAAAGATAAATAATTTTTGCGCTTATGTCTCATAATTAAGAATAGTACTTTGGCAAAACAATTGATAAGAAATAATATCTTTTCAATTAAAAGATAATAAATTTTGCGCTTAGGTACCATAATTAAGAATAGTACCTTGGCAAAACAATTGGTAAGAAATAATATCATTTTAATTAAAAAATAAGTAATTTTTGCGCTTAGGTTCCATAATTAAAAATAGTACCCTGGCAAAACAATTGGTAAGAAATAATATCATTCTAATTAAAAGATAAATATTTTTGCGCTTACGTTCCATAATTAAGAATAGTACCCTGGCAAAACAATTCATCTTTTTAATTAAAAATTAAATATTTTTTGCGCTTTAGGTTCCATAATTAAGACTAGTACCTTGGCAAAGCAATTGGTAAGATTATTTTAATTAAAAGATAAATAATTTTTGCGCTTAGGTTCCATAATTAAGAATACTACCTTGGCAAAACAATTCATCTTTTTAATTAAAAATTAAATATTTTTTGCGCTTTTAGGCTCCATAAGTAAGACTACTACCCTGGCAAAACAATTGATAAGAAATAATATCTTTTGAATTAAAAGATAACTAATTTTTGCTCTCAGGTCCCATAATTAAGAACAGTACCCTGGCAAAGCAATTGATAAGAAATTATATATTTTTAATTAAACGATAAATATTTTTTGCGCTTAGGTCCCATAATTAAGACTAGTACCCTGACAAAATATTTCTGTATCCAGACTTCAAAACATTGAGAGAAATAAAGCCCGGGAATGGGAGAGACAGATGGAGTAATGTCTAAGAAAATGAATTTTCAAGGGTAATGGCAACAAGAAATCTGCTAAACCTAAGAAATGAATCAAAAAGTCATATTACTGAAGATAGGTAATCAGAAGCCTTCCCAGAACATTAGCAATTCATTTTCTGTTGTACTCGTTTGTATCAGTCCTGAGCTAAATGATCGATATTACATTTAATGAGCTAAATTATCGATTATTCATAAAATTCATGTACCCACTGCTTAAGGTTTACGAAATTTTACTTACTGTTGAGGGAAGGGATCTTTAAATCCAGAATCTGTCGCAAATACGCCCAAAGATATCAAAATTAGACATTGCAGCCAAAGCACCCATTTTTCCCTCATTCTTACCGCATCAAGAAATTCTGTACCAATGCCATGAACAATTTAGTGACCCAATTAAAAACAACGTGAAACGCTACACTACTAAAGAGGGATACTCCTCTTTCCTGCTGGAATAATTGTACGCAAGATGGTACGAGGTGGCACACCAGGAACATTCCTGAAAAGGATCTTGTGATCAACCATTTATATCCATCTTTTTTTAACACCTCAACCACCTCTTTCGAATTCTGTTGTGGATAAAATTTCGCTTTCTTTTTTTTTCTCTATTCCTATTTTATATTCTATTACTGCATAATTCATAAAAATATAAAATGGTCCAAAAATCCTGTCTGTGTTTATAAGATTGTGAAGCAAAACTGTAAATATTGAATCACTAAGTTTATTAAGATAGCTAATGGTCATTAAGGTGTTGTGTCTAGCATCATTATTTTTGTTTCCTGATTTTTCTATTTTACTTAACATATTGTCACAAATTTATTTTGATACGATGGCAATTGTTGCCTTTCAGTCAAATTTTTCATTTGCATCCATATATCACCTAGTGCCAACATGGAGAAATATCTAAATTGGATTAAATTGGGAGAAACTATCTGAACAAAGAATATAATATCAATTTAACCAGCATATTCAAACTCACGCCCACTCAGTTCGTCAATCAATATTTCTTTGATTCTTCTTCCGCGATATATATGTAACGATCATCTGTAAGTACACCTTGCCTATACGTACCTCTACGAGTACACAAAAAAAGGGGGGACAGATTTATATCTTCCATTCTACTGGGCCGATTGACGAAATTAAACTTGCTTTTTTCATGTTTCGAAAGCGCGACTTATAAGTGTGACTAAAAGGACTGTAGAGGCATTTGGAAGCAAGAGACATGAGCGTGACTAAAAGGATTGTAGAGAAATTAGGTTATTTGGAAGAAGGAGACATGAAAAATGAGCAATGTCCTCTCCACGGACTCGAAACTTGGACCTCTCGAATACGCGTCCAGCGTGCTGACCACTACACTACGAAGGCTTGCTAAGAAGGCGGAAGAAATGCCTTACATACTCCCCCTTTTAAAGGGCAACTGGGGATTAGGGGACCCAATCGCCAAATCCTGGTGGCGAAGAAGCATCATTTACCACCTTTTTAGTTCGGGCGACACTGTAGAGACATTAGGTTTTTTTTGGAAGCAGGAGAGGCGAAAAATGAGCAATGCTCTCGCCGGGACTCGAACCACGGACCGCTCGAATACGCGTCGAGCGTGCTGACCACTACACCACGAAGGCACGCTAAGAAGGCGGGTGAAATACCTTATAGGATATATATTAGATTTATATATAGCATTGTTCTAACATAGACATTTGGACACAAAAGCGGACTTTTTATGAAATGACACAACTATTTTTTTCCCCGTATTTCGATTCTATACTTCAAATTAGGCCTAAATATTAAATTTTGTAAGTTTGAGGAGAAATTTACCAAGAAATTTTTTAATTTTTCTTGGCTCATATTTTTCGGTTGGAGAAATTCTTAATTTATGCTAACCAATTTTCCTTTCCCTTTCACTCTGCAAGAGCGAAATAAAAGCTACATGAGTTGTTCTTTCAAATAATTTTAACAAAGTGCGTAAAACCGTGTTTGGTCTTATCGTTGCTTATAACAAATATGCCAAATTTTAAAACTCGCCAGTATATATATAAATTGACGTATATCTTGATAAATTTTAAATAAAAAGAAATCTAATTTTTTACTGGCGCTCCAAGAAATACATGTACTTTAATATGATGGCAAAAATTTCAAAAATATTTTCAAATTATTTATAAAAATTACTAAAAAATGCAAATTTTAAAAACAAATCAGAAAATATGTACCAGTTTTATTTAAACTGAACATAAATTTCGAATTGTGAAAGAAGGAATCAAGTAAGCTTAATCAAAAAGATATATTTAATAATATATATCAAACTCAATTAACATTGAGGAGCTAAAATTTAGAGAGCTCATTTTTAAAAAACTACTCGTGCGATTTTTATAAAACTTGTCTCTTTGGCATAATTTGAATGGTAGAATCGAAATGGGAAAATAAATATGTAATTCCAAGTCTAATTTTTATGTCAAAATACCGACATTACAAAAATGATATATATAAATCTAATGTATATCCTAAGTCTCGCTTTCGAGTTAAAAAATATATAATTTCGTCAATTGGCTCACTAGTACGAGAGATAATGAACTGTCTCTTATTTTGTGTGTGTGTGCAAGATGTACCACCAATGACTCAATTAAAAACAGCGAAATATCAGGCAGCTGATACTCGTTTGCAAACATATTTGAAACATACCTCGAGAGGCGTTGAGTGGCGATTAAATAAGCGTTGAGTGATGAAAACTACACGAATTGAAATTATTAAATGATGGATAAAATTAATAGCGATAACGATATTTGTAAGCTCTACTATTAATTAAATATAAGCGTAAGCTTATCTATGGGTTATATATTTTCCAAAATTAAATTTTATGTGTGTCAAGTACTTTATTTCAACTTTACAGAGCTTATTGTTTAATTACTGCAAGAGAAACATTTTACATAAATCTTTCTGGTCGATTTTATTTTGGAATACCACAACTGTTTCATATATATTTATCTAGAACGACAATTTTTTTGCCAAAAACTCACCATACAAGGAAAATTCATTATTGCAATTTGCGTTAACCCCTTGGGTACATTTGACGTCTGAGACACGTCATTCACTTTTTCCCCCTAGGAGCGGATGACGTGTCTCAGACGTCAAACCAAAAGTTAAACTGTTGGGTACATTTGACGTCTGAGAGACGTCATTCGCTTGTTTTCCCTAGGAGCGGATAATTCACATACAGTAAGACCCCGCTTAACGCGGGGGATACATTCCATCAAAGTAGAGCGTAATGCGAAACAGCGCTAAACGAGGCTATTTTTACATGTAAATATTGGGGTTAGGGGAAGATGGCTAGGAAATTGGTTAGGTATTAAATTTAAAAAGTTTGTTTTTTTAATAAAAATAAAACCAAACATTTATTTCTTAAAGCCCAAGTTAATACCACATTATTATTTCTTGCAAAAATCAAAACAAAATATAAATAACAAAACGAATATTCTTAAAAATAAAAACAAATAAAATTCTAAGTCAGTCATATTTAGTTAGCCTTCCGCGTTTTCAGTGTTCTGCCTTTTTGTGACAAAAGCATCTAATGTTGTTTGCCTTTTTCTTTTGCGTTGTTCTCTTAAAAGTTCTTCATAAACGGATAGAGCATCTCTAACACCACGCCTTACTTTTGAGCTCCTGTCAAAATTCGGATCATTTTCAATGAATTGATCCATTATTTCAGTTATGGTAGACAAACTCCTTTTTACAAACGCCATCGAAAGTTCTTTTGTTCTTCTTCTGAATCACTGCTGTCAACACTTTTGTTTTTCTTCTTGTTCAGTTAATTCCTTGAGCTCATCATTAGAAAGACTAGCCGCTGCTTCTTGAATTATTTCTTCGACATCTTCCACATTTACCCCTTCAAAATATGTCTGTACAATACCGCACCAAACAAGAAATACAAGTACACTCTTTCGGATATGTATTTGAAACCTATCGCTGCATAATATTTCGGGGAATCCCCGTATGCTGCGAGCGATTTCGTGGAATCCCCGGGTTGAAATAAAAGAGCGCTAAACGAAACAGCGTTAAGAGGGGTCTTACTGCACTTAGCACAGAACATTCAAATGCTGATTTGATAAACAGGCAAAGGAGAAAAAATGAAAGTGGCGATAGCGAAAATATTATAAAACCGGCATCTCTGCTTGAATATAATAAAGGTATGGGAGGCGTTGATAAACAAAACCAATTGCTAGCGTGCTTCCCATTTATGAGAAAATGTATAAAGGGTTATAAGAAAATGTTTTTTTATCTAATAGATATGGCATTTTATAATACTATTCTTTTATAATACTATTTTATATTCTAAAATCAACTGCACAACCAAGGTAGGCATTACTTCCTTTCGTTTAGCTATTGCCGAAGAATTGCTGGAGCAATTGTCATTGCCAAATTATAAACGTCGTGGACGCCCGTCAAGTAGCGATACAAACCATTTCGTTTGGCAGCGAAAAATTGGGCACACTTTCCTGAGAACATTCCGTCAACTTAGTCCAAGCAACACCATGGAGAAAGGTGCCGTGTTTGTTATAAGCATAATATTAGGAAAGGGACTACGTGGCAGTGCAAACAATGCAAAGTAGCACTGTATTTGCTTTGAAAAATATCACACTCTGCATAATTATTAGTAATTGGTTTTTTGTTATAGCTTGAATTTATTTCATTTAGTTTTATTTTGTTGTTATTTTGTTGCAATTCTAATTACTTGAAGACATCTTAATACTACATATATCACCAATATTTTAGAAATATATAAATTCTTACGTAAAATGTACTGCTATTACATTCTACTCAAAGCAACCAAAAATTATATCCGTTCCACATGCAAATATTTTCTCAAATAAATCCGTACCCAAGGGGTTAATGTAAGAAAGATTCTCCTTAAATCCTCTGGTTCAATAATGAATCCTATTTTTCACAAATGAATTGTTCTGGGTATTCAAAAATTCAGTTTGGACAATGTCATTTAACAAATGAAGACTAATCTCAAGCAGCATGCATTCGTAATTTGCACGTGAAAAGTACGGGCAATTTACGAATGGTCCTTCGTATAAAAAATGTAAAGCTTGGACGTAAAAATATCATAAAAAGTTTCCAGTAAAAAAAGTAGTAGATATTTAGGTATATTTTTACGTTACAATATACGTAAAATTTAGGTATATTCATGCAAATCTTTGCGCTTAATTCGTAGTTTTTACATACAATATACGTACATTGTAAGGATTTACGTATATTTTTGATGAAAATTTACGTATATTTACCGCACATACGTAAATCTTTCCAATTTTTGACTTCGTATATTTTTAGCGAAAATTTACGTAATTTGCTCATTTTTTTTTATTTTTCACAAACGTATACTTTACGCAGAAATTGACGTAAACTTTTACAATTTTTTTACTATGCATAATTGGAAATAATTTGGATAAAAATTCATTTTTCATGAATTCTAGACATATTTTTACAGGTTATTTAATATCTTATTTTTATCATTATATGCAGATAATATACGCACATAACGAATGTAAAAACTACATTTAAACACATTTGATTAGATTTTATAATATTAAAAACACGCCATCCACATTTTTCCTCTGCATAAGGTGAAATTTTCCAGTTTTTAAATTTGATAAGCTAATACAAGAAACCAAAAAGTTTGTAAGTAAATCAGTTTTCTAAAAATATATGAATTTAATATTGTAGAATTGCTGAAATTGAAAATAGAAATAATTTTAAAGTCAGCGAAAAATATAAATTTAAATTTAAAATAAAACTATACTATATAGTATTTCTAACTAGCTAAAGTACCCAATGTTGCACGGTTTTTACACAGAGTAAAGAGGCTTCTTTTATGGAGATGGCGATAATGTCTTCAAAATCTCAAGAAGACGGTGTTTTTTCTCCTATTTCGGTTCAAGCTGAATTGTGCAAAGTTTTACCAAGCTCCATTAAATCTGTAAAACAGTATAGAAGTAATACAGCGCCAAGTTACGGTTTTAGTAAGAACTGGTACCTGCTTTATTAGAATTTACCATCCAGTTAGCCCATTTCTTCCCCTATTGCGATTTTTTCGAGGGAAAACTGATAGGTAGAGCACTTAAATTCTGCTTTGAAGGTGCTACACTGTTCTAAAGACTAAACGAACACGGCGCCATCTAACGGTTTTTCGTAGAACTATTAGAGGGAACACAACGACAGGCTACGTGAAACTAAGGTTAGTGACGTAATTCAAATTGAAACTAGTATGTAGAAACATTAATATTTATTTTTTGTAAAAAAATAAATTCCTTGCTTAGTATTTATGACTCCCAATGACAGCGGGAACGCACCAACGGCGACGTGAAACTAGAATGGGTGTCTTCAGCACAACTTTCTAATATAAGAGCCCTGAGTGTGAATTCCCTGGGGTCGTTTTTCGAAACCTTACAAAAACATTGACCTTCCTTTTGTTTGAAGGTCAAATTGAAGAGCCATTATGATTTTCTGGAAGCAGGAAAGATGAAAAATGAACAACACCCTCGCCGGGAATAGAACCACGGACATCTGGAATACGTGCCCAACGTGCAGACCACTACACTACGAACGCATGCAAAGAAGGCGGGAGAAATACCTTATATACTCCCTCTTTTAAATGGCGACTGGGATTTTTATGGGACACAATCGCCAAATTCTGGGTGTGGAAAATTATCACCCAGCACCGTTTTAAGTTCGGGCGCCGCTGTAGAGACATTATGTATTTTTGAAGCAGGAGAGATGAAAAATGAGCAACGCCCTCACTGGGAATCGAAGCACGGACCTCTGGAGTAGGCGCCTAGAGTGCAGACCTCTACACTACGAAGACATGCTAAGAAGGCGGGAGAAATACTTTATATACTCTCCCTTTTAAAGGCGACTGGGGTTTTTAGGGGACCCAATAGCCAAATTCTAGGTGTGGAGAATCATCATCCACCACCCTTTTAGTTCGGGCGCCACTGTAGAAGCATTAGGTTAAATAGAAGCAGGAGAGATGAAAAATGAGCAGCACCCTCAGTTTATAGGGAATTCTGCCCTGAGTGAGGGGGCTTCTCATGCAGGTCGTATTAATCGAATCACGGACCTCTGGAATACGCGTCCAGCGTGCTGACCACTACATTACGAAGGCATGCTCAGAAGGAGGGAGAAATAACTTCTAAAATATGCAAAATTTCATAAAGATCGGAATAAAACTGTAGACTTGCATAAATTGAACACATACAAACAAACAAACGTGCATTCTTCTTTATATATGATTTCAGTCACAACAGCCAGCATAGGCCCAGCTAGTCATTAATAATTACTGAATGAAGTCTACGTTCATTGCTTTTAAATCGCTCGCTTTCTTAATTAAAAACAGAATCAACATAAAGGAAAAATTAAATACTTTACGCTTTGCTGAACTACAAGCACTGCTGCATGGAATATGAAAATATTCTAATTTGAGAAACGGCAGCACATTTTCCTTAAATAACCGAGTGTGTGTATTAAATTCGGAGGGCGAATAAATATATTGCGTTTACCCAAGTGGCAACACACTTCTTTTACTTCATAGAAAATTCTGATTAAATTTAAAAAGTAAAAATCTAATACTTTGCAGTGTGGCAACACAAAACTTTTAAATTCTTAATCTAAAGTTTGTTAAATAAGCGTAAAATATACAAGGGGTGATCAAATGAAAAGGTACGAAACGACGTAAAAACGTAACAGTTAAATATTTGCATATTCCGCCATGGGAGAACGTAGCGATACATCTCGGGAGTCTCTGACTGGGATCAGAACATGCGCGGTCGCCTACATGCGCAGGAGAGAGCAGAGGCTCTTTCATAGCGGCGTCCAAATGATGCGGCAGTCCGTATGAGGACAGGATGGCGTTCGCATTGCAAAATTCGACGACTGAGGAGCAGCGAGGTGTTGTCCGATTTCTGACAGCTGAAGGTGAGAAACCGGCAGCTATTCTTCGCCGGGATGGTGACAGTTTACGGAGAGAAATGTGTCTCTGACAAGTCTGTCAGAAAATGGAGTGCCCGTTTTCGTGCAGGCCGTGAGAGGATGGGTGATGACCCGAGACCAGGCCAGGCAAACACTGTCATAACGAGCGATCTCATTGACAAGGTGCACGACCTAGTGAGAAGTGATCGGCGTGTCACATTGCGAATGTTGGCGGTGAAGGTAGATGTCAGCTATGGAAACGTCTGGACAATTGTTCACGACAGTTTGCGAAGAAAAGGAAAGTGTGTGCCGCTTGGGTACCGAAGCAGCTCACGGAACAGCAAAGGGAACCGCGTATGCACTGCAACAGCTTCGGTATCAGGAAGACCCCGCTTTCATGTAGCAGATCGTTACAGGTGATGAGAACTGGTGCCATCATTACGAGCCAGAGACAAAGCGGGATAGCATGCACTGGAAGCATGTATCGTCACCTTCCTCTAAAACGTTCAAAGCCGTGCCGTCAGCAGGCAAGGTGTTGCTCACCGTCTTTTTCGACGTTCAAGGTCCGCTACTTGTGGAATTCCTCGAGCACAGAAAAACCATTACTCGGATGTGTACTGTGAGACACTCCTCCGCCTACGCAGGTCCATCAAGAACAAAAGACCGCGGCTGCTCATGGAGGGTGTAGTTTTGCTCCATGATAACGCGCGTCCACACATCTCCAGAATCACACACATGGAAATGGCCAAGTTCAAGTGGGTGACGTTGGACCATCCGCCCTACAATCCGAACATGTTGCTCTGCGATTTCCATGTGTTTGGTCCACTGAAGAAACACCTGAAAAGGGAAGCGCTTCAACTCAAACGACGTACTCAAGGACGCTGTAAAGGACTGGGTCTCGTCACGGCCATAGGAGTTCTAGGAACAAGGAATCCTGCGGCTTGTTTATCAGTGAGATCGTTGTGCTCAGGCCTATGGTGTATATTTTGAATAAAGTCTACATTTGTACCCACCGTGTCGTTTCGTACTTTTTCATTTGATCACCCCTTGTATGTATACTAGCTGAAGTACCCGATGCCAGTTACGTTAGATTGAGAGTAATATATATAACAAGAGAGAACGATACCGCTGTAATCTTGCTGAAATAATGCAAACGATGCAAAATATACGATTCATAGTCATACCCTTTTCAATCTGATGCGATATGGAACCCACATAAAATATTTCGATAGAAAAATAAACTAATTCTCTCTCATTATATCAGCAACAATGGCACGCAGTTTTTAATGATTTTCGTCTTTCTAATCAAATGGTCTTAAAAGCTCAAATTCCATCTAATATTTGACCTATATTCAATTTCAGTCGGTTAAATGTGGCAAAAAATTTATAATACTTGATGAGAAATCAATAACGCATCATCAGGAAGAATCTCCATAGATGTATGTATGTTTCTCGCATAGTGATAAAACAGATACCTGGAGCCATCAAATTGTGAGTAACGTAATCCTCCACTCAATATGGGAATCTGGAAGACCTAATTTGGAATTTGGAATTAGTTTTATCATGTATTTCATACTTTGTCAGACATTAAAGAATTTTTGGTTAACAAACTCAACAAAGTGCGAAGAACGTCGTATTTAATAAATAAAGGTGACACACGTTAAAAAAAAAAAGCCCAATTGGGCGTAATGTAAAATCTGAAAGCTGTCAGATTTTTTTTTTACCCAGTTTTTTCTATGTGTTACCTTCTTGGTATTGCGTGCGTGTAATATTAGTGATTTGTACGCCTTAAATATCCTTTGGGAGTAAAGTAATAAATTACATTAATACTATAATAACTTTGCTTACAGTGCAAAAGAGATATAGTAAAACATAAATGCATACTTCTTATAAGTGAACGAACAAAAGGCAGATCGTTTTTTGACATCATAATTATTTAACGGTATCTTTTTAGACATTATAAATTAACTCAGGTAAAGATTGTTATAAATATTTTTCATGAATGAAATCACACAAAAAATACATAATACTCGGATGATTATTATCGAGCCAAATAAGTATTCATCTCTGGTAACGTTTCAAAAGTCACTGACAACTTTTATCTGGGAATTAAGGGAAATGAATCAAGCTTGCATGAGTTCGGGAATAGAATACGTGGCGTATTTGTTCTTTCCTTTTGAAATCGCGTTAAGACTTCTAATTGGGATGACTATTTGTACATAGATTTTTCGGGAGCACAATTCGCTTCCTAGACGCAATGGACTTTATAAAACGAAATAATGTACTTAACGAAGCTAAAAGTTTAACGTAGTGGTTAAAAATTTAATGTACAAAGATTTAATGTACGAAATAATGTAGGTTAGGAAGCTTAAAATTTTACGTAGTAGGTAAAAATTTAGAGTACGAAATTTAATTTAACGAAGCTAAATATTTAATGTAGTAAGCGAAATAATGAATAAAAGTATTAGAAATTGTTGTCCACCAGTTTTTCTCTATACTAATATGATATAAATATTTAAAAAATAACCCACCAACGACAACCCTCTTTGTTCCACCCTGCGTGGTTCGTGTCCCCTTCTTCTTCTACCTCCTCCGATTTCTCTTCCAAAATCCTCCAACGTGTAGAACATTATATGTCATATGCCTTCGGGCTTTCTTTCAAGAACCGGCAAACTTGCTCACAGGTATAGTTCGGTATAATATTGTTACGTTATTTCCTTCCTTCACGTTCGTATGGGGTTCGTGTGGATTTGGAGTGAATAGCGACGATACTTGATGAAGTATCGAAACACACTTTCATTTAGACAATATTAATCCGGACAGCTCCAAAGTTACGTTTTACAGACGTCGAAGATCTACTATACACTCACTGGAACAACCAGCGACACAGCCTTTGGGTTATCAGGCTATAACGGTGGAGACAGCTTCACTTCAAAGCACCAGAGTAGAGCTCCAGTCTCTGCTTGGTCGTTCTCGGAACTCCAGGTACTCTCGAGACTCTCCCCGCTACAACTCGCGATGAACTCGACAACAGATGAACAGAGCACAGTTCCCGACTCTTCGGTTCAGTCGTTCCCGGAGCTTAACACACTCTCTCAACAATGCACTAACCGGGATAACTAAAAGACTCTTCGATGCACTCGACGACCCACTTGGCACTCGCTGGCCGGCTGTCAACTCGATCGACTCCGCACGGGTCGCTAAACGAGGCACAATCTATGAAGCACACATACTCACTGCGAACAAGCAGGGTTTATATAGCTTTTGGCTTGTGTTCGAGAACATTCTGGGCTAAACTGGTAAGAATTCGTTCCAGAAGGTTCTCCATCCGTCCATGGCATATCGCCAATTTTGTTGCCAAATGTAGCCAAATGGGCGATTTCTCGCCAAATGTGGGAACTCTGCCGTCCCTTGCCATTTTATGGCAACCTTAGAACTGATTTGCGGGGAAGCTATCTTACCTCGCCTTTACATTTCGTAACAATATAGTGTCTAAGTCACAACAACCAACAGAAATCACCATTGTGTTTAATGAAACTGCGTTGCCCTCTTATGGCGAAGCAGTGAGTTTGCAGTCAGTTGTATAACTTAAATTTGTATTGTTTGGTTTTCACCAAAAAAAAAAAAAAAAAAAAAAAAACATTTCGTGTGATATTAAGCACAATATAGTCGCAGATTTGATACAGAATGTGTGTCACGTCAATTCATATAATGTGGAATTTTGTAAGAAAGTTATAAGGCCTTTTTTTCATAACCTTCTGCGTTGTTCAGCAGGGTTTCTTCCAACGGGGAAAAAAGTGGAACAGTTTAGCAAATTTCACGGAAAATGAATCTGGGTTTCTAATAAAATGCACTTATATTTCATTCAGGAATGTTCTTGAAAATCCACAGTAAAGTTTTGCCAAACATAAAATTGTTAAATAACAGTATATGATTTTTCATTTATTTTCCAAAAACACAAATACCTAATTTTTAAGAGAATCGAATCGAATCGTTTTTTTGTAAAACAGGTACCTAGCCCAGGAGGCCTTACACTTGCACTAAATTTAATAAGTCAATAAATTAGGCGCATCGCGCCGCCGAAAGGCGAAAATCTTAATCAGCTGGACATTAACCAGTGAATGTGTGTGTGTGTGTGATTATGGCAAACCCTAGAGGGCTATCTGTCTAAGAGGAGGGATGCCTTCGTGAAGGACTTTCTAAGGGAAACTGGCTCGTATACACGTTACACATGGGGAAAACTACGAAAACGCCCATGCAGCCAGCCCGTTCGCGGGATTCGAACCTCGGACCGAACTACCAGTGTTCAGCGACTTTACCGCTCGGCCGCTGGTGGGCATTAACCAGTGAACTTGATGGAAAATCTTAATCAGCTGGTCATTAACCAGTGAACTTGATGGAAAATCTTAATCAGCTGGTCATTAACCAGTGAACTTGATGAAGTAGAAGATTGAAGAAATGACATTTGATGAAGCGATGGCATTCGCCACCCCAGCTGATAAACTAAGTATTCAAAACTATTGACATTATCTCTGTGACAGGGTACGTTACAGAGGAGGAGGAATTGTTATTCACGTTTAAAAACACTTTGCAATCGTGCTTCATCTCCGTAAACCGAAATGAAGGCTTTGAATGCGTCTTTGTTTCCGTTATTATTCCCGACTATGGTAATGTGCATTTTTATACACTGTATAACCTGCCTAAAAATAGCATCAATACTACCATACTCAACAATATTCTCAAGGAAGATTAGTAAGTGATTGTCATCGGCGATCTTAATGGAAAGCATATGGACCGGAGCTGCAAACATACAAACGAAAAATGGTCAAATTTCGCATAACTTTATTACCAACTATCCTGTTGCTCTTCATATTCCTACGGAAAGCACCTACCATTCTTCCAGAATTCAGACATCCTTGACATACTTATTAAGACTACCTCTATTTCTATCGCTTTAGAAGCTAAATCTGATCTCACCTCAGATCATATGCCTATCATTGTCACCTTAGGAGTATCTACTGAAGAAATTGTCAGAACCTCCAATAAAACAGGCTGAAGACATTTTCATAATACACTGCTGGCCACCGTAAATGCAACACCCTGAAGGAAGCACGCAAGTAACATGAAATTTACAACATGCATTAGCGGAGGTGAGATATGCAAATGATTAGAATTTCAGCGCAGACGAACATCACGCGTGCCTGTGGCGCCACTTCAAAGCGCTATTTAAGGCTTGGAGTTTTCGACGATTTCAAGTTCGGCAATTGTGTTTAAAAAAAACGATCAATTATGCCTCGTAGTAAACAGCGATCATCGTTTGATCAAGTATCCGAGTTCGACAGAGGAAGTATAGTGGCCTACCGAGAGAGTGGATGAACTTTCAGGGAAATCGGTAGTCGTGTTGGACGAAACCAAACAAC